GCTGCTGGCCTTCTGAACAGCTAAGCGCAGCTATAGCGGGAGATAGCTGCAGATATACCATTTAGCTGTTTTTGCAAAAAAATAGAAAAAAAAGATATGACCTTAGCATAACTTCATAACCATAACTAATTGATACATAACCAGTTCACGCAGGCTACAAAATACAGAGAACAAAAATCAAAACTAGCAGATGAGAAGAGAATAAAGTTACTTTGTTGATCTGCCATGGTGTCCGGCGACTTGTGTTGTTGCTGCTGCTTAGGGTTGGGGAAGAGGAAGAACTGAAGATGAAGCCGCTGCTTGGGGTTGGGGAAGACGAAGAACTGCTCGTGCTGCCTCGGCCATACTCATGCTGCACACCACCGCCGCCGCCACTTGGATCTCCGGCTGGCCGCGCCGCTTGAAGCTCCAGCTAGCTACGCCGCTTCGGGGGGGTGCTAGCTTGAAGTTGGACCTCCGGCTGGCTTGGGGCAGCAGGGCCCTCGGGCCATGCGCGCCGCCCGCCGTCGCATGAATCGAGAGGGGGGGGGCTATCTTGAAGTTGGACCTCCTCCGGTTGCCCACGCTCCTTGTGGGGCACTCTCGGCCCTTCTGACAGCCGCCGCCGAAGTAGAAGCCGCCTCCGCCACCGCCTCCTTTTCTACGGTAGAGAAGTGAGAGACCAAGAGAGACGGGTCACGAGCGTGGGAGTGAGCTAGGGTTGCTGGGTTACGGTGGGGGTGGGGGGAAATTGGGATAAGATGGGCCGCTAACTCATTTTCTGGGCCCGTGAAAATTTTGGCTGCCGCTAAAATAAGCCCAGTTTAGCGGCAATCTCCGCAGATCTCCGGCTATTAGCTGTTTTCGTTTCGTAGCGCAAAAAGTTAGATGTCTTAGCTTCTACCTTGTCCAGCAGCTATCTCCGGCTATAGCTTCAGCTATAGCCGGAGATTTAAAACTTTGCTGAAAAGTCAAGGATACTGAGAAAATAAAAGGAGACATGAAAAGGAGAGGGGGGTTTGGACAAATGAAAACAAGCGTACGACATCACCAGCACCAACAATAGTAACTTAACCACAACACAACAACGACGCCCGCCGATTATTAAACGCGGTACAAGCAAGGGGCATAAAAGAAAAAGAGGATCCCAAAGGAGGAATAGGGAGGGAGAGCAGCTAGGGGGAGGCCCGGGACAGCGACGTCTTCCTCCCTCTCTGGGATTGAGCTCTCCCAGTCGCCCCCGTCCAATTCCAATATCTGCAGCAGCAGCAGCAGCCGCGGCGGTAGGAGGGATCAGCAGCGGAATAGCCGCAGCAGCAGAGCACCGCAGTCCGCACCGGAAGGAGAGGAAAAGGAGCTCGGTTTTTTTATATACCAACCGGCCACCCGCCCTGCTGCGCGCTACTACTACTACTAGCTGCTGCCTGCTTGCCCGTCCTCCCCTTTGCGTCGTCGCGCTCTTCGCCGTCCCCTTTCAGAATCGGAAGGCGATTGCACAAGGCTGTGCTGTGCGTGCTCGGCCGCCTCCCGTCCCGACCCGACCGGACAAAGAGGGGAGGAAAAAAATATAGAGTTAGTCACACACAGCACAGGAAGGCGGAGGGAGAGAGGGATTGAGAGATAAAGAGATTTCGGGAGACAAGGAGAGAGAGACAGAGATGGAGAGGAGCAGCCGCTGGTCAGGCCTTTCACTCCCGCACCCAGATAACGATGTGCTAGCTCCGTCCTCTTAGGTTAAGGTAAGCAGCCGCAGCCAACGCGCGCGGCGCCGGGAGCGAGGACACACCGCCGTTCCTTCCTTCGTTCTCACTAGCCTGCTTCTTCGTTCTTCAGTTCGTTGTTTGCCCGGTCGATCGATCGGTTGTTTCTTTGTTTGTTCATCAGATACATGCAAAGCTAGCCGGAATTTTGTTTGGGGAAATTAAATTAAAAGGAGGATTAATTTGTTCTCTTTATTTATTTTCTTTCTTTCGATTTAATTTGTTTGCTTTAATTTGGGAGAGTGCAATTCGGTTCATCATCCTCTTCTTTGGATTCTATTTTATATAAATTCGGTTACCTCTGGCCGGTGCTTACGATGGCGCTGCGGTTGCTGCTGCTCATGAGTCATGACCTGTGCAGGAAGGAGGAGGTCGTGGCCGGGATCCCGCCGACGATGATGACAGTGGCGCCGCCGGCATGGGCATAGCGGCGCCACCGTACCAGCAGACCACCACGTACGCCAGCCAACCCACCAAGAGCAGCGCAGCGATCTCCGCCTCCGCCCGGGCGGCTACCGCGACTTCTATGTCCCACTCCCAGGGATTCCACCAGGGCAGCAGCGGCGTCTACGGCTACTCCTCGGATGGCTTCGACCGCCCGGACTCTAGCCACCACCAGGACCATCAGCAGCAGCACGAGCACGTGGCGCAGCAGAGCCGCCGCGACAAGCTGAGGGTGCAGGGCTTCGACCCGGCCGCGGCCGCCGGGCACGGCCTGCTCCCTCTCGACGGCGACGAGCATGGCGGCCCCGGGGCCATGTACGAGCACGCGGCGGCGGCCGCCGGGGCCTCCAACATGCTCTCCGAGATGTTCAACTTCCCCGCGCCGCCGTCGGGGCCCTCCGCCACCGAGCTGCTGGCCAGCCAGATGAGCGCCAACTACCGCTTCGGGCTACGGCAGCAGCAGGCCGGGCCCGGAGGGGTGGCCGGCTTGTCCGGCGGCGACGGCGGTTGGTTCGGGGCCGGCGCGGCGGGTCGTGCTGGCTTGGTCCTCGGTGGGGCCAGCATGGGCTCGTTAGGTGAAACGTCGTCCCCGAAGCTGCAGCAAGCAGGCAGCATGGCTGGCCTGGCCACCGACCCGGCCGCCGCGATGCAGCTCTTCCTGATGAACCCACAGCAGAAGTCTAGATCGTCGCCGACGTCGCCGCCCCCGTCGGACGTGCAGCAGCACCACGAGGCGTTCCAGGCTTTCAGCGCCGCCGGGGCCCCGTTCGGCGGCGCCGGGACCGGCGTCGTCGAAGGCCAGGGGCTGTCCCTGTCGCTGTCGCCGTCGCTACAGCAGCTGGAGATGGCCGAGGAGCTGAGGGTCCGGGACGGCGTGCTCTACTTCAACCGTCAGCAGCAACAGCAGGGTGGCCCGTCGGTGCAGCAGCAGCAGGTGCCGATGGCATTGCACGGCCAGGTCGGCGCGCTGGGGCAGCAGCTGCACGTCGGCTACGGCCCGGCCGGCGTCGCGGGCGTGCTGCGCAACTCCAAGTACACCCGCGCGGCGCAGGAGCTCCTCGAGGAGTTCTGCAGCGTCGGGCGCGGGCAGATCAAGGGCGGCGCGCGGGGCGGGCGAGGGGCCTCGGCGTCCAACCCTAACGCCAGCAATAAGGGCGGCGCCTCCAGCTCCGGCGCCGCGCAGTCGCCGTCGTCCGCGTCCAAGGAGCCCCCTCAACTGTCCCCCGCCGACCGGTTCGAGCACCAGCGAAAGAAGGCCAAGCTCATCTCCATGCTCGACGAGGCACGTCCACTGTCTCATCATCCACACACACACGAACTCCATCCCCTCCACTTCCTTCTTCCTCTCTAGCTTGCATGCATGGGTGCATGGGTTTGCTGACGCCATAGCTAGCTAATAAGCTCCGGCCGACGACGACGAGGCTCGCGGCCACGGAGGCGGCCCTAGCTGGCTCTAAAAGGTAGTTGCGGCCGCGGCGGAAGGTGGGCAGAGCCGGCCGGTACGTAGCAGTACTACAACCGATGATCCAGCAGAAGCAGCTAGCTAAAGCTGGTAGTACGAGTACGAGGGAGAGCTTGGTTTTTTTATTTTTTTACTGCCAAGTGCCAAGTCATTGTTGCCGGACGTGGCAGGTGGCCGCCAATGGCATGAAGGCTGCAGGCAGGTGCAGCAGGAGCCGCCGCCGCCACACAAACTCCAAGGGGATATGAATCTCCTAATCATAGTAACATCGATCCCATCCCCCATATGGCTCGATTTCTTTTTGTGCGGTTGTTGGTGCTGCGCTGTTGCCGCTGCATTCATCGCCTCCATTTCTTTATGCATGCGCCAATCCGCCTGCCTCTTCTTCTCTCTCCATATCCCCACAAGGGGGAAAGAAGTACGGCCACCCTCCATGCTTCTTCCCGTTGCTGTCATCACATCTCAATTAACATAGGAGTTTATGTTACTAGCTGGTACTAATTGTTTATGCGCGGCGGCGTCACTACCTAATTTTGATTTTGTATAAGCATATAGTACTTTGATGACTCAAGCTTAATTTGGTTCGACTAGGAGGTATATAAAAATCTATATATGCATATACACATACACCGGTGGTTGGTGCAAGCTGCTGCAATCATGCATCTATTGATGATGCAAGATCGATGCTAGCATCAGCGGCTTCGAGCTAGCTGATGAACAGCTAGCTTCGCGCCTTCGCCTAAGCTATAGCTAGCTTACGGTCGTCTCGGCCGGCACTTCTACAATTGGCACTGCAGGGAGCAAGTACGAGAGCTAGCCGCTGCGACATGTCACAACGAACTCCTTGTTGATAGCTGCAGCTAGTACATGATTGACTGGTGAGCGAGGGGAGCGAGCTCGCGTCGCTCGCTCAGTGATCGCCACCGCTAGCTGCAGCTGGAGAGCTTGGGCACATGCAGGCAGGTCACACTGGTAGATGCGTATGGTGGCTGGCTCAGCTAGCAAGCCCCGGCTGTTGCCAAATACCGGTGGGCCTCGGCTTCTTTTGTTCCTTCTCCCCATTTCTCATAATTGTGCCAGCGACACATGCAACGCCATGCCCATGCCTTAACTGCGTGCTGCACCCCCGATCGAGTTTTGTTTCTTGTGTTCCATCGATCGATCAGCATTGCTTTCGACGATCGTACTAGCTAGCTACATAATTAGCTTGTACTAAGTAGGATTTTTCCCCTTTCCATCACCATATTCCACGTTTCGATTTACTTTGTGTAATTTACTAGGGATGATGAATCGTAAATACTAAATTATCTGATGGATGATGCAACAACTAATAACAATTTCTTCGATATGCATGCATGCACGATGATTATCAGGTGGACCGTCGGTACAACCACTACTGCGACCAGATGCAGATGGTGGTGAACTTCTTCGACTCGGTGATGGGGTTCGGCGCGGCGACGCCGTACACGGCGCTGGCGCAGAAGGCCATGTCGCGGCACTTCCGGTGCCTCAAGGACGCCATCGCGGCGCAGCTGCGGAGCACGTGCGAGCTGCTGGGGGAGAAGGACGCCGGCACCAGCTCCGGGATCACCAAGGGCGAGACCCCGCGGCTGCGCGCCATCGACCAGAGCCTCCGGCAGCAGCGCGCCTTCCACCACATGGGGATGATGGAGCAGGAGGCCTGGAGGCCCCAGCGCGGCCTCCCCGAGCGCTCCGTCAACATCCTCCGCTCCTGGCTCTTCGAGCACTTCCTCCACCCGTACGTCGTCATCATCACTTGCCTCTCAATAGTCAATTCCTTCCTTCTCTTCTCGCTCGATATGTCATCTGCATGACATGCATGCATGCATGCACGGGATCAGCTGCTGCTGGCGATGATCGATGCCGTGGCGGGAGATCATGCATGCAGGATGCAGCGCTCCTCCTGCTACTCATCACGGGCAGCTTCTGCTTTGCTTTTCCCTGCCCCCGCGGCCTCCTCTAGTCTGGCTGCTGGTTCGCTGCTGCGCTTTAGCAAAAGCAGTAATTTTTTCGAGATCCACGCTAAAAAACCGGCCGCAGCAGCCATGCATGCCGGGGACTGTGCGCCTGTGTATATTCCTCCCCTTTTGCCCCCCGGGGTTTAACTTTCCCATCATTGCAGAAATTTACCTTTTTTCAGTTTTACTGCGGTCAATCAGTGTCAGGCCGGCCGGCAGCGGCAGGAGCTCTCTGCTCTCAGCCTCTCCTCCGGACTCCGGAGTCCGGACCGCCCGCCGCTAGAGAAAGGGACGGCTGCTGCTGCTCTTCCGTTCGCGCGGGCATGCAAAAGCTACGCGCGTTCTGCTGCACGCATGAACGGCACGGGGTGGGCCTTTCTGCCGCGCCCCGGCCGAGCTGCTGCCGCCTGCTGCAACAACCGGCATGGGCGGGTAGTAGCCGCCGCTCGCAGGCCGATGAGCCGGCCTCCTTTTGCTTCCACCGTGCCACCATCTGATCCAGCTGATCCCGTCGTCATGCTGCCATTGCCGCCTGCGAGAGATCAAAGCACCAGAGGGGGAATATATCGGCCTCGGAATCCGTTTTCCCTTGGCTCCTGGCGCTGCATCTGCATGCATGCAGATTGCAGAGAGTGGTGCATGGCTGGCCTAGCTATAGTTGCTACATGTGCGCGCATGGATATCGGTGCTCGTCCATACATATGATCATCATATATAATGGGTATATGATTGGTGAATGGTGCTTAGCACGTCGCACGCAGTGGTGCTATTCCTGCGGCTTCTGCTGCTGCATGCGCTTGCAGGCTGCGTGCAGTCAGCCGCAGGCCGCAGCTCAGCTCAGCTAGGCAGAAGATAGTGTGCTGCCAGTGCCAGCACGTACGTACGCGGCAGCCTTAACACGGGTCCTTTTCTACAGTATGTGTGGCGTCGTATGGGAACATACGAGTATGATTCTCACGGGTGTGCATGGTTGTTTTCTCGTGCCGTCTCTGCAGGTACCCGAGCGACGCCGATAAGCACCTGTTGGCGAGGCAGACCGGGCTGTCCAGGAACCAGGTCTGTACGCTTGCACCATCCATGTACAGTGTGGAGTCAGAGCTATTTCATCGGCTAGCTAGCTCGTTGCTGATACACGTACCGTACGCATGCATGCATGGATTTTCCATATCTATCGCCTACTGTTGAGCGTGGCAGTTTTGCCTGTTTTTTTATGCTCTTTGTTTTTGCTGATTTGGATGCGCTTCTTTTTGGCATCGACTCAGCATGGCCGTCTGCGTTGTCTTATTATGAATAGATAGCCTGTCCCCGAGGTAAATAGAAACTGACACTATACTCAATATGACCACTAAAATACTTACGCTGAATCTAGTATATGTTGTCCTCCAGTATTGCTAACACAACTCATGCATGCTTAAGGACATAGCATCTCTTATATATTCCATCCGTTCCAAATTATAAGTCATTCCAAGAATCTTGGAGATTCAAAGCATTTCAAGTTTGACCAAAATTATAGATAGAATTATAAAGATTTGTGACATCAAATCGGTATACTATGAAAATATAATTAATGAAGAATCTAATGATACTTAGTTGGAATCATAAATATTATTATCTTATCATATAAATTTGGTCAAACTTGAGATGCTTTGACTCTCTAAGATTCTGGTAATGACTTATAATTTGGGAAGGAGGGAGTATATGTTATAGCTTAAATGAGTTTTTACTTGCAAGTATTCAATAATAAAAGACAGCAACCAACCATGATAAAACTTAATACAATTATATATATAAACAAACTCCTAATTTTATAGCAACTTCTCAACATCCGGAGATACATACACCAGCTGTTTGGCCATATGATAGAATATTGGAAAATTAGTTAATAAGCTGAGATCGAGTCGATAACCTCAACACCTCGACATAAACACTAAATTTATGAAATTCACAAGAGGGTCAAATCATTTTAAGATAGTTTCTAGACACTTACTAATATACGCATGCATATATACCTATCCTAGTCTGTAGGTATTGAGCATATGTAAATAAGTAGAAAACTGAACTCAATATATGGAGAACTCGACTTAAATTGCTATATGTAGGGAACTACTAAAATGGCGCGTGCGTGCCCACATATTTATATTAGCATGCATGATGGCATGCATTGGACTGAACTCAGCTCCTCAGGTTTATGGATGCTTTTTTTTTTCTAACCTTCATCAGTTCGTCTCTCTCTTGGTCTCTTTTGTTTATTTCCTGCATGCACTTACGTGGTCCCTGCACAAGTGCCCCTCATGTCTACCAACTTTAGGGCACTGGGTCATTATCAATCGATAACCGCATCGTAGAAACATTTCCTTCTCTGCTCTTGCCCAATGTGACAACGCAAACTGGGTCCCTCTTCACCTCCCCTTGTCCTTTTATCGTCCTTTCCTGGCATCTTAGGTGAAATCTATGCACACCGTACCGGCCGTGATTGCCTAACATTATTAATTTAAGTTTGTACTGATCGATAGCTGGCTCATATATTATATCTATAGGGGTCCAATAATACACATACTACATTGTGGCCCACTGCTACCTATACTTATCTTTTCTATATCTTAGATGATTGATATCATCCTCGTGAAAAAAGAATTATGGATCCACCAACCATATATAATAACCATGTGGGAAATTAAGTAGCTTCTTGCTTTCTACTACATGATGGCGACTATTCTGTGATTCCAAAATATCTAAACGACCCTACGTACCTAGCTATATACGATATATGCTGTTATGCTTAATGTGGTACAATGTTGACTGAACCTTCATATGTTGTCAAAAGTGGCGCTTTTTCTTGGAAGAAGTTAATAAGTATCACCCCTCGGTTGCACCATTTGTGTGTGCCACAATTCTGTACAACCAGTTGGTACATCGTTTATTCCAAGTTCTGATCTGCTACTAACTTGTTTAAGCAGCTAGTAATTGACCACTTAACCTACTTGGTCCATATAGATAGATTTTTTTCATATTAAATTCATCATTTGGTCTAACTTTCTCAGTAGATTTTAACGTAGTTTCAAGGTGCTAGCTTTGATCGCATCAACATTGTTCACATCATTTACAAATATATATACTACCAGCAAAGCATTTAACTGATGAGCAACTAATAATAATGTCACCTTTTTCATGTAACCAACTATATGCATGCCTTCATCTTGAAGCAAGATAAACGTTGTTGTTGTCTTCCAATGTGTGCATATTCGCCCTTGGTCATGCATGTACACCCATTCAAAATTTTATATTTTCAAATAATTTTAGTATATATAGGAAAAAAATTGCATTACAAAAATAAAAAAGAGTTTCACTTGCTAGATGAGGTTCTACAAAAACTATATGCTTCCACTACATCATATGAATCTTGTTGGGTGCAACTCATTAATTTTTTTACACACAGAATCAATGTGTAAGATACATAGTTAATTATTACAAATATAGTTTCTTCATGCATGGAGGCATATATTATAATGCTACAACTAATAACACATTTGCATTTGTTATATAATTTTATAACTATTGTATTGTCTATTGTGGTAATGGGTCCTTTGTTCATACTTTTTCAATCACCAATATAATTCCTAGATTTTGTAAAGAGTGTACATAATTTTGTGACATTAAAATCAAGAGATGGATTCCTTTTTTTGTGTGAGTTTGAATTTGAAGGCGTTGTCTAAGTTGAGCTAAGAAATTTCACACCTGAATTAGTTAACTTGATTTTCACTATCCTTATTATGTGCATTTATAAACCAAAAAATGAAATCAACTAATAATGCATGCTGTAAATTATTGTCCTTATGGAGGTTTGGCTACCATTTTGTACTATATGGACTTACCTCCTGAATATTCCATGTCATGTGCTCCCCACCATCTATTTATGCCTAAGCATAATAATAAAGACCAAACTCAGAGCAAATTATTTTTACAATGACATTGTAATATTACCTACCATTACAAAATCATAATTGGACAACACATATACAATAAATAGAAAACATTACTCAATATAACAAATATCCCGCTTCAAAGTACATATAGTTCATAACATTTGCTAAGTTGCATGAGAATGAAGAAGAAAACAGCTAAAACAACTAAATGTTATGGTATTTTTCTGTATTTTAAGTAATTGCACGTATAATTTAATGGTTCTTCTTTTTCAGTGGCTTAACCGCAGAAATCAAAATGATCAACTACTGCATGCAATCAACATATATTGTTTTAAAAGTTCTAAAAGTGTTGAGACCATTTTTATCCGAAGGACCATCCCATGCATGTGCGATTCGGTTCCTTGAATTTTAGCATCGTTACTAATTTACTGTTATCAGTGCACACGTGTAAAAACACAGTCAAAACTATGGTAAATGGCATCTTGAACAACAAACTGCACTATAGGGATTCTCAAGTAAAAATTTCATGAAATGTAAAAATGAAGAAAGTAAGAGTGAAACATATACACACATGTACGCATGGTAGCTAGTATTATATGGCCAGACCAAATTACTCTCATTATTAGTCGATCTGTACTACTCCCATTGTTTTTTACATGTCATATTAGATTTATCATAAGTCAAACACTCCTAAATTTGACCATCAGTTAAAAAAAACCATGTAGTTTCACAACATGTAAACTCTATATTATGAAAATATTTTTCTCATAATGAATCTAAAAGCATAAACCTTACGTTGTTAACCTATACAAGATGGTCAAAGATAGAAATTTTTTACTTAGGACAAAACTAATACGACATGTAAAGAAACAGAGACACGTACATGTGCATGCTTAGAATTCAAAACAAGGCAGGTCTATTGCTATATTACAAAAAATAACCAGATCCAAAACATTGGAACACAAATGAAACAAGACAATGACATCATAAAACTGAAACATGACAGTGAGAACCGGGTATAGCTAGTAGCTAGTTAGATAAGCTACCAAGCCCTACCTATACGTCCCTGCAGAATACATGCATGCATGCACGCATGGCTCCACATCCCACAGGCCACAGCCCCACATGGCCGTGCGTGGACCCCTGTGGCCCTGTCCCTGCAATAATTTGTTTGCTTTCCTTTGGATCAACTCCAGGTCTCCAACTGGTTCATCAACGCCCGTGTCCGGCTATGGAAGCCCATGATCGAGGAGATGTATCAGCAGGAGTGCAGGGAGCTCGAGGGCTCCTCGGCCGGCGGCGGGGGCGGCCCCGAGTCCGGCAACGACCCCTCCGGCGCCGACAGCTCGCACTCTCCGACCACCACCGGCGCAGCGCAGCTCCCGCAACAGCAACAGCACCACGGCACGGTGCCCGCCGGGGTGATGATGCCCCACAAGCCCGACCCGGGCGCCGCGGGTCCCTCGGCTGCGGAAGCAGCGTTCGTCGGGATCGACCCGGTGGAGCTCCTCGGCGGCGACGCTCACGTGGGCGGTGGCGCGGACGACTTGTACGGGCGGTTCGAGCCCGGGGTGAGGGTGCGGTACGGGCCCGCTGCGGCTGCAGGCGCGGCGGCCGGCGACGTGTCTTTGACGCTGGGCCTGCAGCACGCCGGCGCCGGCAACGCCGGGCCCGACGGCACCGGGCGGTTCTCCTTGAGAGACTACAGCGGTTGTTGATGCTTAACACATCGCTACATCACCTTTCATGGCTCATACATGCGCGCATCATGCATTTGGAAGAGTACGGATCGAGGAAAGAGAGAGAGAAAACAGTAACCAGAGGAGAGAGAGACTGAGAGAGGGTGCTAGACAGACACAGAGAGAGAGATGAGCATCTAGAAAGAGAAAATTTGCATGGTGCCTGGAGGTGATGAATGGGATGGGACATATGAATGAGATCATCAAAACCGCCTGCTCCTTCGTCGTCGTCTTCCCAGATGATTCTTAATTTACTTAGCTAGCAGATTAATTCCTTTTGTTAGCCATTATTGTTGGGGGGTGGTGGTTAAGGATAATTAATTTGTATACAGCAAAGGAAGATAGGAAGTGTATAATTGTTTAGTCACACTTTTTTGCTTCTCTGTTTTGCATTTGCCCGTTTTTGTTCTGGTGTACCAATTTTCCTTGTACTCATTTTTCTTTCCCTCTCTGTAAACTAAACATAAGAGACACATACATGATGCATACGTAAATACATATATTGGTAAATATTGGGATACATATAGCATATATATGCAAGGCTAAAAGAGGAACATATACTCCAGTACAAGTGTGGCCACATAGTTGGCTGCCATGTACGTGCAAATTGTGCGTGCCTCTTTTCTTCTGCTCCATCTTTTGGGGAAACCTATTGATGCCATGTCGGGGCTGGATCGGAGCTCCCTTTTGAATCCATGTAAAACATCACAAATCATGTGCAAGATTTCTGAAAAACTTGAAACCTTAGTCATGTTAATTTTCTAATTTTATTAATTGGAAATAGAAATGTGCTAAAAAAAGAGAGTTATTTATGTATGGGAAGATGAATCATTTAAAATTTCCTATATCAAATCTATTATATCATATACTCTTATAAAGCAAAACCCCACTAGCAAATTTTTCTTGACATGCAAGGTGTCCACCTCAGCAGTCCACTATCACTTGCAATTAAACCTCACTAGCAATTTTTCTTGACATGCAAGGTGTCCACCTCAGCAGTCCACTATCACTTGCAATTAAAGTTCACTAGCACAAGCAATTATGATGACACATCATCCACTAACATACACATGCCACGGTATCCACTAACATTAGTTTATAATAGTTAATCTCTTCCTAAGAATTGTATGAATAGTTAAATTTAATTCCAAATCAGTATCTCGCGGCAACGCGCGGGGTGTTCTTCTAGTTAATAATACAATAGTGTCAAAAGAGCCCTCACATTCAACGAGAAGGTCTACAAATACAAAATTAACCTAGAAAAACAAAGAATATGCACAGTTCGATTTTATAATAATCTAACGGTCTAAATTAAATCAAAGAACACGGCTACTATAGAGGCTTCTTGGAGGGGTCATTTTTTATTTTCTGAGGTGGGCACCGGCCAAATGCCACTGTAAATTGGGCTTTCCGGAGGCGGACGACGTAAGGCGCTCACCTCCGTTTATTCTCAATAACAGAGGCAACTAACATAGGGTGCGCGCCTCCATAAACGTATTAACAGAGGAGACACTACATTGGTTAAATTAAGCAAAGAAGTGATGATTAATTCACCAATGTGGTATGATTTGCTTAAAATTAGACAAATATATTTGAAAGGAAGGAAGGTGCAAATAAAAAATAGTAAATAAACTTTACTTTGGATGGATATATGGTGGGGTGACACACCCTTGTGCCAACAATATTTTGTTTGACCTCTATGAAGAGAAATACTCCCTTCGTCGCAAAATAAGTGCACATCTTGCACTTCGAGAAGTCAAGCATTCTCAAGTTTGACTAAATTTTTAGAAAATAATATTAACATTTGTATCTTTGAGTAGGTTTACTATGAAAAAATATGATGTGATTCATCTAATGATGTATATTTGATATCATGAATATTAATATTTTTATATATATTTGGTCAAACTTTGAATTCATTAACTCCTTGAAGTGCGAGATGTGCACTTATTATGGGACGGAGGGAGTACATCTCGGTGTATAACTGTAAAATCAGAAATTGTAATTTGAAGTTTAGAAGGTGGATCCCAGGCTTCCCGAGGGAGCAATGGGAAAATATTAACAATTATGTCCTTACTTTGGATGAGGTGGATTCTACGGACAACCTAAGGCGGAAGTGGACAAGTTCTGGCATGTTCACGGTTAAATCTACGTATGAGCAGTTAACTCAAATCAAATCTAGAGCAACTCATAAAATAGTTGGGAAGCCAAAATTCCACTGAAAATCAAATACTTTTTGTGGGCGTTAGAGAATGATGCATGTTATTTTTGTAAGGATAATGAAACAATTAATCATCTTCTCTTTGAATGCAAAGTAGCCAAATCTAACTGGGGTCTTTATAGCCTGCTTGATGGAGGTAACTGTACTCCTAACTCTATTCAGCAATGTTGGTTATAGCTATTTGTTTGACAACATGAAAATGTTCTAACAGAACTTGTTTTGATAAAAAAGATCATCAGAGACCCTTTGGAAGTGACAACTAGATCTTGTTTCTTTTCTTAATTTTTGGTCAGGTTTGCTAAAGGCTGGCTTAAAAAATGTGGTGGATGGCATGAACATTTGTATGTCGCTATATTCGCATGATGATTACAACTCCACATTGCTAGCAGTTGTGCATCACTGCCATTGAAGATTCGGTTGACAACAAGGAGGATGCTATTCAAGTGAAGAACTAAGAGAGTTGAGTGTTGTTTGATTTGAGGGATGGGCCTTTTCTTTGTTTTTTCTTTTGATTATTAGGACTTGTGTTCTCCATGGGAGGTGCCAACCCCATGTATCAGGGTTGTTCACCGAAGACAGGTGACTTATTTCCTACCATTCTTTTGCATTCAAATTTCATTACTCTGTTATGGTTTCCGTGGTAATGGAAATGAGGTTTATCCTGATTAAAAAAAATGAACTTCTATATTTATGTTTTCTAAGATTCTAGACCGTGCATGTGCACAAATCGAGGACTAGCTTTTATAATAGTTTTAATCGGTTATTGGGGCTACTTTTGGTCAATTTTGTAATATTTACTGCTATCAATGGTTGTTAATCTATCAAATAGATAGTTGGTATTTTTTCCTTTTATATTTTTATCTGTTTTCTACAATTTTTTACCTTAACACTCGTCTCCACGGCCTCCACCTCCCTGCTCGGCTCCAATGGCTCCCCTGTCGCCAACCACCATGGTCGGGTCCTAAATCTATTGGATATGCCTCCTCCTCCTCGCTCGTCTTCTTCATTTTTGACCGAGGTCCCTCGCCACCACCGCTTGAAAGGTCCCTAGTTTGATTTTGGTAATTGAGTGACAACCTAGGTGGACTAATGTGTTTAAATGTGAGATACACAGGTGATTAGTCCACAGGTATACTTGTGTGAGCAACTCATGCCATGACGGTGAAGATGGCTTGGATTTGTTACAAGGCTCACACATGTGATGAAGGAGCTCATTGCATATGAGACATGACATGGAGTCATGTGACCAAGGTGGAGAAGATCAAGACAAGACTTGGCTTGATGGACCGGTTGCAAGCGTGAAGGGCAAGTTGGAGGCTTTGGAGCGATGGACTATATGGCGGTGAAGCTTGAGCAAGACTTGGCGCCAATGGATGAAGGCAATGATGTGAAGGCAAGTGAGGTCAAGATCGATGAACCAATAAGGTCACGTGATGATATAAAGTGAATCATATCATTTTTTGATCAAGGTTAGTGCATGTGTTGCATCAACAATTGGAGGAGATGGAATGGAATGCGCAAGGCAAAGGTATAACCTATTGGGCATTTCATTTCATTAGTCATAGGTGTGTAGAAAAGTTTATGACCAAGTTTTGGATAGATTGCCGTACTATCAAGATGGGAAAATTTGTTTGCATATCGGTCATCTAGTGCCACTCGAGTGATCTAACTTTGCATCATTATTAGGATTGAGTGGCGTGGTGAAAAGAGAGCTAATCCTTTGATAAAATAGTTATGAAAAGCTAACACACGTGTACAAGGTGGTGTATCACTTGGAGTGTTAGCACATTTGAAAGGTGTTGGCAAAAGGTGAAGAAAGGTGGCGAATCTAGGCTCGGGGTGCTGCCCTGGGGGCACCACCCCTGCCTGTCCGGTGGCACCGCCATCCCCTAGGGTGGTGCCCACCTGGCCTCGGTTCTGAGCAGCAGAGAAGGGGTGGCACCGCCCTGACCGGTGTACACCGCCCCTGGCACGGCGGTGCACCGCCGGGGTGTGTCCGGTGCCACCACCCCATTTCTTCCGAGGCTGGGAAAATTGTGTGGCAGAACCGTTCGAAATAGCACGTTTTCGGAGGCGCTCGTCTTCCACTAAACACTAAGCACCTCAAAAGTTAGCTACAACGAACGGTTTCGTCGAGCACACCCCAAGGGAGTACTCGAACAATTCACGCTTTTCCTCCAGGATCCAATAATGAGAACGAGTTTACAATACTTAGTCCATTTCATACAACAAGAGTTCTCAGAAATACATTATTACACTACCAAGTTCAAAGTGTGGAATTTAAACAACGGAATTAAAATAAACATCTATCGATAAGATACAAGGATCCGTCTGTGCCCACCAAAAGAATCCTCCACACAATAGCTACTCCTCAAGCTGCACCTGCAACAGGGGTAAATAAACCCTGAGTATACAATGTACTCACAAGACTTACCCGACTCCAAAGGATATGATAAGCTTTATGGTTTGCTGAGTTTCCTTTTTACAAAAAGCATTACTAGTAGTGAATCCTTATGTATTTATTTTATTAGCAGTCATGATTAGTTCATTAGCTAACCATTCTATGTAAGCACCTATTCTACTTTCAAGCAAAAGTTGAGCAATCAGACCCATTCATTCCCTTTCATCTTCTAATTCTTACTATGGTGTTAGAACGTAGACAAGTCATACCGTATCACACAGCGATTCACAAACCAATGTATCCCAGCTGGATACCCTGAAACACACGCCCCGCTTGTACCCTAGGCACAAGCAAGAC